TATTATTATTATTATTATTATTATTTATGCGTCACTAAAGAACATTCTGGTTCAACGATTCGTGTGGCTGTCTAATTACAGAGAAATATCACTGAAATACCAATTGTCTGCACGCTGTAAGAGGTACAAATGTGCAAACTTGGCAGTTTTCGTTCAAAATGGTCTTTGTCTCTAAAAGTAGTTTGGACCACATGGGTTGTTTCTCGTTGGCACTTCACACACTGTGGTATAGCCCAGACAATGAATAACGGAAAGCAAAACAATTGAGATCAAACATGGAAAACCACTGGAACAAACTGGGGCATTAGTTTGCGCATTTTGCATTCTTTCCAGATCAGTTGACTCAGTAAATGAAGGGTTTTTAACATGAAAGAATGGGAATGAAGTGGAAATTCTTTAAAAAAGAAATTTGGTTGATTTTGGTTGTTAGTACTCTGGGGAAGATAAACATGTCATGCCTTCCTCTGCCTAGCTGTTTTCCATCGTCCTCTATATATTAAGGCTCACAGCCACTCTCAATAGCAATATATCACCCAGTGGTCATTTGAAATTGGGCTCATTTTGTCCATTTTTCCACCCACATTAGACTTCTATCAAACCTGTATGTCAATGGTTTGGAAACTATGCAACATGTTGGTCTTGTATGATTGGCCGCTCATGGGATACAAAACTGACTGACTGATTTCTTCACAGAACTGATATTTCATTTTTTTGGTCTATTTGCAGGAGAAGAACTTTACGCTAGAGGTCGTTTCTGGCACGAGCCTTCCTTGATTGAAAAAGCCAACAACTTCAAAATGCGAAATTGTGAGGCACTGGAGAAATTATCAGAACGTGGTTAACTCAAGGGGTCAAGATAATACTCTTAATACAATGTTCTTATATCAATTATTCTAAAATTTTCAATGTATTTCAATGCAGTATTTGAGTGATCTAATCCTGCGTGCAGCCTGGAAGTTAAGGACAGGCTGCAGACAAGCTAAAGTGACGTCAGATAAAACAAAATACTGTACAAATATTAAATTTGGAATTTCGTTGGTTGGCATAGAATAAAGTAGATTAGACCTCTTCGGCTCTGACGTAATGTTTTCCCATTTCAGACCCCATGTCATTCCCTGGAGTATCATTTCTTTGTTTAAGGTTTGCGCTCGGTTGCACATTAGAAGACACATGAATATGGATACGGCTCAAACAAAGGATCTTATTCTCAAGGGAATGACACGTGGTCTAAAATGGGAAAACATTACCCCAAGCCGAAGAGGTCTATTGTTTCTTTCCTCAACCAAATTAGTTTTAATATAAACCGAGCTTTCGCTATATTTAATAGAGACTCTGGCAGAAAACTGCCTGGAAATTATCTGCAACTTATTTGATTTACTATTTGTACTGATAGCTCGCGCGTTTATGTGAGCGCGCGAAATGAATGCTTGTTAACGTTTGTAGCACGCGCATATATGTTTGTAATCGTGATAGTTTTATCGTTGATTCCATTGTACCCTGAGGAGGGGCGAGTATGCCATATTAAAACTAATTTGGTTGAGGAAACAAACAATTCTACTTTACTGTACAAGTATTTTTATTAGTCATGCATTTATAGTCGATAATTCATCCTAATGAAAACCTTTATCATAGTATTAGTATTATTGAATGTAAGTCTTATAATAGTGAGATATGACTCGGGTGGCTGCCTTTCATGGCACACAATTTAGCCCCTTCTTATTTATCTTACGACTGCCTCTTAATTCACGTGGTTTAATTCGACATTTCATGCACATAGAACAACAGTGATTCATAGTACTATACCAGCCATCTTCCGCAACGTGCAAGTGGCGGGTTTTCTTCAATATTGCACCTTCATCCACCCTCATTCATATGCTTTACAACAGTGCTCTATGATTCTAACTATTACCATATCAACTCTTTGCGTTGTATGGTTTCTTCGTCTACAACTAGACTTTCTTGACGTCCAAATGGCGGATTTGCTCCAAGACTGCTATATGCACATATGCTTACAAAGCAATCGCCTCAGTTCTTTTCTTCGACTAGACTCTTGCAAAGCCCAAGTTTTTGTGTTAATATCGTATGTATGAAATACGATATGTCATATTAACTAATTATATTTTATTGATGGTTTGTAACCAATCCTAGAAGGGTCAAAAGAAGATACACGGCCATGTTGGGGGTATTGACACTAGAATTTAACAAAATGTTTTTGAAAATTGCAGTCAGGATATAAGTCAATGACAAACCTTTTTAAATGTAAAAAAAAAAAAAAAGTTGAATACCACTAACATGGCTGCGATGAAGTAAGTGTGACTAAGGAATATAATTACAACTGGGACCAGGTATAAATAATTTATCAGTCGGTTTTAATAATTATATATAGAAGTACATGAACTAAGAGATATAATGGATTGTTGTTTTGCAGATACCCTATTTGAAAAAAGAAATCACTAAATAACTTGGGCGCAGTTTACATGAAGATAAGTTGATCCAACTGCTAGCTAAAGAAACTCAAGACAATGATTTTCCCTTGCACCCTTTGCATTAGGGATCAACCTACCTTCATGTAAACGGGCAACATTCCATGTTGGGATTAGATATGCAATGGAAATCCTTAAGGCCAGTCGAGATTTTCAATGCCCTTCAAGTTTAGCGATTCTCTTTTAAAAAATAAGGAATAAGTACACGATCTTTGCTGAAAAGATTACATCAACAATAATGGTTTACAATCCTACTCCAGATAGCTCGAGTCAGAAAGTAAACTATAACTTTATGAACCAGAGGGTAATGAGAACTGTTTTGCCAACATACCAACTATATAACGATGAAATAAGTAATTTGAAAAGAAAGAGATTTGATCTATATGGAGTCAAAGTTGCAGTTTTCGTTGCCTCTAGTTTTATTTTAACAAACCACCTTCCTACTTAGGCCAGGTTTAAAACTTTATCGCATTACGTTACATCATGAAAAGAATCATGGTTGTGGTAGAGGCGGGCAACAACAACAACAAAACTTCAAAATGTGTTTTTTAGAACTTGGGAAAGCAATGATAGCCCCCAAAATACTGTACATATTTTGCAGGATGAGCACCGGTTTATAAAATTTGTGAAAACAAGATATTGGAGAGCTATCAATTCAGCTGAAACGTAATTAGCTCAAATTCTTATTATTCTTCACCATATAGTCCGAATTGTAAAAATATGCCGGCATTGTCGTCATGACCATAGTGAAATACAGGTGTATGATCACTGCTTTCAAGTCGTATAGTTGGAAGTGTGTTTTTTTTGAAGGGCAACTGTGTTGTACTTGTGTAATTTCAACTTGAATTTCATGACTTATTGAAGCGGATTGATGCATTTGTCAGAGCTTGTGTAATTTGTAATTTGTAATTTGAAGTTGTCTTTCGGTACGGTAGCATACTTCCTTGGTGGGCCTCAGCTCACTCGAATCCTTAACAATTTATTTGAGGAAGTGAATGAGAACAGCATGAAACGCGGCCTGATCTTCAACATCCAGTTATATCAATAACATATTTTTCTTATTTGATAATCATACTGTGCCAAACTGTGGAATTAATATAACCGATGCCTGCCCATTTGTCGTTTAAGCCAAGCACAAAAACTTAGTTCTGTTTAAAAAAAAAGAGGGCTAGATTGGGAACTTTGTTGTTTGTCGCATTCATGATTATTATATTAATACGCATGGCACTGCAGCTGTTGATCCCTTCAGCATTTTCGATATTAATGGGAAAGAACTTGGCCTGGGTGCATCCGATATTGAAATGTTGTTTAGATTAATGAACCACACCGGCAACTTTGTGCTGGGATGCAAGCAGGCTAGAAAGTACTCTGAATCATAGGATTTACTTTCTGTTGTCTGCAGCTGTGGATCCCTCCAGCATTTTCGATATTAATGGGAAAGTACTTGGCCTGGGTGCATCGGAATATTGAAATGTTGTTAAGGTTGATGAACCACACCGGCAACTTTGTGCAAGCAGGCTAGAAAGTACTCTGAATCATAGGATTTACTTTCTGTTGTCTGCAGCTGTGGATCCCTCCAGCATTTTCGATATTTAATAGATAAAGCACGCAGCATTCGTAGGTATAATGCAGGCAGCTGAGGGCGTAGCCCGAAGCTGCCTGCATTATACTTACGAATGCTGCGTGCCGAAGTGTTTATCTAGTATAATTATTGTTCTTATCAAAATCCAATTGTTTTCTTTCTAGCTTGTTTATCATAGAAACAAAGCCAATAATGAATGAACTAAATATGTCTGATTTTCCTCTATGCATTCGTTGGGATAATGCAGACTGAAAACAATGGATTTTGATAAGATCAGTAATTATTAATGGGAAAGTACTTGGCCTGGGTGTTTGCTGTTGCTGACTGACGCAGTGAGCGTGAAGCCTGCCTAAGTATTAGACTCTCTTATTACTTTTCTTTTACTTTTCACTATCGGCAAATGAAACTAACGCTACATAGATATAATAGCGTCCCTTTAAACAGCTCCATGGTGCAACACCTTCTGCAGCTCTGAAAAGGCTTGTACAAGGGTAGCCTTGGATTATATTTGGTGTAACGTCCATATTGTTGCTTGCCTTTTGCTGTTATTGCTGCAAACGCCATGTAGTTGCACTTGCTTGTATCAGATATTGCTAGTGACCAAGTTTCTCTTGCCGCTGTTTGTTGCAAAGTTGATGTTGCAGTTGATTGTAACAGTTTATTGTAAAAAAGGTTTTCTTTTTTGCTGCTTGACTATATAGCAAATACTGATGTTCCCGACTTGTGCCATTTTACTTTTATTTCGTTATCGCTGGTCACTAGCTTAACAAGCTAAACGGCGCAACGTGCTCAGTGTTTCTAAGAAATAAATATTACAGATACAATGTATCAAACGATAAAATTTATAATCTTTATTGCTGAAGAAGTTACAGCAGGTGTTTACTCCTGCACGCAGGAGAGTACTCTAAAATGTCCCCCGCGATAACATGTTTCATTCACAGGCATTCACAAGCCTACTGGCCTTTGATAATTTTCTGTCACGGCAAGCAGTCTTCAATATTACATAACGTGCAAAGAAGTTTATAACCCCTAAAGAAAACCGCTTTTATTATTTCCAACATTTATTTTGACTATAGTGGTTTTTTTAACATATTAGGAAACAATTTCGACATAACAAACTGAAATTCGTACATTTAGTTTTTCAACGAAAATATTTAACAAAACACTGACTTCAATTAATTCAAATGAAAATTTACTCCTTCAGTTCCAGCTTAATTTTATTACATTCTATTATTTACTGTTACCTTAATCTTAGTGATTGCATATTACGGAGAACTTGCATGCCATTTCCTCTCAACAAAGTACTGTCTAAGTTAGAATAACCTCCCAGCTAGGTTCGCCATTAGCATTATGTATTAATGCCATGTATTCTTATATCCAATCAGAACATCCACCAAACAATTTGCCAGCTTCCATTCGTAAATTATTCATATTTCAAAACCAAGGAAAGAAATTCACGCCGGACTCCAAAAAAAAAGGAAAAGGATTTCTGCCCGTATGGTCGAAAAATATTTTGAAAATATTTGATACAAAACAAGGTTCATTTCTGAGGTAAATATTCATATATAAAARTTGTTTCTTTTCGTGTACGTGTGGTGAGGACTGTGAGAAATGTATGAACTTTCGCAATAAGATTTAATGCTTGTACTTCATAGGCACTCTGCAAAATCTTAATTAGCAGTCATTTGTTTGCGTTACTCATCTCCCAAACTTAAGTCGTTTATCATTATTGCTATGGCAATTGGAGTGTTCGTAAAATGTTCCAGTCTCTTAAGGATTCAATGCGATTTTCTTATAAAAACAAACGTATTTACTTGTTTGTAAACCATAATGCTCAATGATGACAATTGGCAAGAACCTGCTCCATTCTTTATTTGAATGAAAGCCAATTCCAACCATAATCATTTTGTTTTATTTTCAGTTTCATAATAATTTAATAAATCCAACCATCCATACCATGCCCTTAAAATCTAAAAAATTCAAAAAAATAGTTTAAACTTTGTTAATTGAATATTTATTTCCTCTTTTTTACTCGGGTTACTTTATAAACTTGAATTTCGTATAATTAGGGGACACCATTACTGATGTGTCCGAGACATATCACAAAATCGCTTTTCGATTGGCTAGAGAGTATCATTATAGCTGAGTGCATGTAGTTATGAAACACTTCAAGCCATTTTTGCATTCAAGTGTACGTACATACTAGCTGCCGGTATTCTAATTATACTGTATACAATGAAGAACGTGATGTCATCATTTCTAACATTGTCTAATTGTCTAATATTGTCTAATATTGTCTTATTAGCAATCCAGATTCTCGATTTATTTATTCACAGTACTTTAAGTCAAGAAAAGGCGTCAGGAAAAAGTTCTTCATCACCGAAACTGTTATGCCAGGGACATTAGCAACTTCTTAACATCGCTCAAAACCCCAATACAGAAAATATTATGAAGTTCAGAAGAAAATTATTGCTGCTTTGGTTATACGCTTCAACGTTAATCCATTGGTGTTATACAGGTAAGTCCGACTATCGACGAAGAGGCGACCATTCTTGTCAGTTCATGCTGGCGAATGGTTTTCTTGAAACGTCGAACCCATCCTAAACGACGCTATAATCTTTAAGGTCGTTATATAGTAATACCGTTGTCCGTTACATTTTCGTATGTTTGGCCATGATATACAAGCGACGATTAATCCTACTTCTTAACTATACTTATCTCAAACTTGTGTTGTCTAGAAACTTCATTGTGCTCTATCTTAATCTCTATCTTTTGAAGCTTTCTTCTTACACGGAAGCATCATGTTCCCACAACTCTGGTACACACGCGCTATACATAGATATCATAACTGATATTTACTGGACCTTTTTTAATATCAAAACAAGAATTCGTTATTTGTATGGCAACACGAAATGTCAGTTGTGCGATTGACACAAGATTCATTCATTGCGATTGAAAGATTCATCTAGACAGTTTTATATGTCAATTGGACCAGAACGTGAAAAAATATATATGCGTTGTGTTTGCAAATTTCGCATAAGATTGGCGGGGATGTTTTTATAATCTGCTTTCTAAAGAAAATCAATGGATATAATTTACTTTTCGACGCGAAATCATTAAAGGTTATATGTGTGTTTTGTAGTATGGGATTAGTCCTAAGCCATCTACTTCCTTGAATATTGGTAACGGTTCGACCCTCAGTCGTAATAAACCTTAATGTCCAAGTGTTTTTCGCATCGATCTTGTTTTAGGCGACATTTTCATAGAATGAAATGCTTTCGCTAGCCTACAGAGACGTTAGCAACCAAACTATGATTTGTAATCCATAGTGTTGGGATTACTTTTTCTTGGTGAAAACATAGGGATTATGAGTATATAAAGATGTCTTTGATATTATTTTGCATGTGCATATRCAATATGTTCTGCACGGGTGAAGCCCTAAGCCATAAGCAGGTACAATGAATGGGCTTTCTTAGAAATAATGATGAATAAACAGGTTGTATTGTTGTTTTGTAGTACATCGTGATGTAAAATGCAAATACGAGGAAAACCCTCCAAAACAAATGCCGAACCCTTGCAAACTCTACAATCTCTTGAAGTTTATACAACGAAAAAAGTTTTTTTTTGCTTTGCGAGGTGCTGTTTTTCAAGATGGTGTCGAGGAAAAGATGACGAATTTACCGAGAATTGGACGCCATATGCTAAACGTTTTTCCTAGAAAAGACTATTTATATTAATTTGCACGAACATCAGGGTTACTCAACACAAGYTTGACTATTATATACCAGACATGTTAAGTAATGATGCCAATACTAGTAACCACAGATTAAAAAATAATATGAAAACCTGTGAGAAATATTAAGTTTTTGTTCATTGCATCTGTGGAATCCTAGATGAGAGACTAACACGGTTTTTGAAACTTAAATATTAAACCTGACTGCAACTCAAAGATTTTCAATCCTAGGTGAAGTTCGTTCGAGTCTTTTTTCACACTGCAACTCAAAGATTTTCAATCCTAGGTGAAGTTCGTTCGAGTCTTTTTTCACACTTTCAGTCCCAACCTTTCCATTTCTAGCTCTACTTCCTCGTATCTTCGCTTTCACGAAAGCCTGCGTTGGCGGCAAAGAACGAACTTCTGCTAGAAAATGTCAGATGTTGATGATGTGGGACTAACTGTTGTCCAGTTCCGAAAACAAACTAAGAGCGAGGAAAATTAAAGAAGAAGGAAGTAAGACGTAATTAATAATAAATAACAAGTTTTCTAACTATAAGACAATGAAGTTGCAGTATAGATGGTCATCGAATGACGACCGAACTATTCGGCGGAATGACAAACAAAGATGAAAAACATTGCTTCTCGTACTTTCTTCTTGTTACTACAATTGTTTGCGCGATATATAATAATTCCTCAAGTTATCCCGATTTTTTCCTATCATAGAGCGTTTTARCTGAAACTTCCTGCTTTACAAAAGCTTTATCAATACTGGGTTTGCTTATATTCAAACTATCATCTAAAATATATCATCTAAAATTTATCGTTTGATGTGTGCTATAAATCCTTTTGAAGTACCGTTCATATAAAAACACACAAAAAAATCCCCCCAAAACACCCGAAGCATCATCATCATCTTTTCTTATTAAAGTTTTTCTAAGATTTCGGAAAATTATTCCTTTCGATAGCGATGCAGATCATAGCAGTATATGCAAATAATGTTTGCATAATATTGCATAATCATTTCCTTCACGTGACCTACAGAGAACGATACTGATCGTTTTATTATATCATTATTACAAATCCATATATGGCGTTGTTTAGCTTAATAACTCGTTAAATGAATATAGATCGAAAGGTTTAGGTTCTACTGTGCAATAAATAGATATCGCAAGGTTTAATGGTTCTGATGACTGCCATGAAACTTGTGAATTCCTTCTTTGGGGCTAAAGATCAAGCAGGCAGTTTCGGTGGCTGAGCAGTTGCTTAGACTCAGTTCAGTTAACATCGGAGCTTGAATGACTATTTTGAGAAATAAATTAAATGTGAAATAGACTGTTGAAAAATATTAGGTTCCTTGGTTATCATAAGTGTTCATTTTGAATTTACTTCTTAAGATCCCTCAAATGCAAGTATTTCAGTAACTGGGCAGTTGACTGAACTGTTGTTCGACGCTTGACTCTAAGTTCCATCGAGAAAATGTGAAATAGACTATTAAAAAATATTAGGTTCCGCTAACTTTAATGGAAATCATCAATGATACTTTCGAGTTCCTTTTTTGGGTCACTGAAAGTCAAACATTTAAAAGTGGCTAAGCACTAGTGGCTAGGCTGTTGTTCAATATCGGAACTCGACCGACCAAAAAGAATGTAAAACAGGCTCCTTAATGAATAAATATAGAATATTATTATTTTTTAAATTCAAGATGTGCTGCAATTCATGGGCGGTATGGCTTTTTTTTTATTAATTATTTTCCATTAGGGCTATCTTGAAATTAATCAACAATTCTATCAGTATCCTAATTCTTGTATTATATTTTGTAAATCGATTTTAATCGCGTTTATAATTGATTTCATTTTTTTGCCAATTGGCTGTCCAAATAGTGTGCATATGATTAACAGTCTAATCACGCATTTCTGTCCATAATTTGCAAATGCGATGCAAGGAGAGCTTGTTTTGACTCTATCCTTCAACTTGGTTGCCTAAATATTCCGTTCTCACGTTGTTGCAACACTTGAATGAATACCATCTACGTTGGGTCCCATCATTTACATTACCACAGTTGAAGTATGCTTTTCAAAGGTCGATACAGAACAGTGATTTTTTAGTGAATGGCGCCGAGAGCATACAGGATAGTCTTCTGGGTGTTTTTAAAATGATCTTCTGGGTGTTCTTAAAATGATCTTCTGAGTGTTTTTAAAATGATCTTCTGGGTGTTCTTAAAATGATCTTCTGAGTGNCTTTTCAAAGGTCGATACAGAACAGTGATTTTTTAGTGAATGGCGCCGAGAACATACAGGATAGTCTTCTGAGTGTTTTTAAAATGATCTTCTGGGTGTTCTTAAAATGATCTTCTGAGTGTTTTTAAAATGATCTTCTGAGTGTTTTTAAAATGATCTTCTGAGTGTTTTTAAAATGATCTTCTGAGTGTTTTTAAAATGATCTTCTGGGTTTTTTTAAAATGATCTTCTGGGTGTTTTTAAAATGATCTTTGTTTAAATCACATGCACGTCTTCTATCGATTTTTCTTGGTTTCATGCATGACAATAGCACAAGTTGAATACTTTACTGTGATTTTAAGAATTGACCTGAAATTCCTGCATGCCATATAGAGGAGAAAATATATTACACCATTCTTGATTTTTTCGACCTGTCTTTCATCATCTGATCCACTACGTTAAACACTGTCAAAGTTACAAAGGAATATCGTGATTCCGATMTGATTTTACAATCATACGAAACAAAGTTAGAATATACAAAGGAAAAATGAATATATCTCTGACCTTGGCTGCCTTTATTATGGGGTAAGAATTAAAGTTTTATATGCGAAACTAATTGGACCGACTTTTAAGGCTTTTTTTATGTTAATGGAGAGCATTGAACAAAAAAAACTGCGTGGCATATACTTGAATTGAAGTGGCAATAAGGACACAATAATATTAGATGTTTACAACTAGTTACCACTGTTGTCACTGCGCTGATCAAGACAACAGCCGCAAAAGGGAAATAGGGCAATACATGCAACTACCGCCAATCAGAGAATATAAAGGTACCGACCAATTTATTTGATTGCGTATTGCCCAATTTGCCTGTCGCAACTATTGTCTCGATCAGCGCGTAGTAATGAAAAATGTGGTAATATGCCATCAGTCTCTGGTTTGAATGGGAAATGCATACAACTGTTTTGAACAAGGGTTGGTAAAGAATTTGTTGCATGTTGCATGCGGCTTAGCTGTAGATCTATTAGATAAAGCTAGGACCTGAGACCGGCAAGGATTATGAGATTATGGTGATTCAGTTTATGGACCTGTAATGTTTTTTCCCTTTACAATTTTTTTCAAACGACAATTTGCTAAAGACAATCATGCACCAGCCATCAAAACAGTTTATAACAAAAGTATATTTTTGGTGGCTTCCTGTTAGAGTCTTATTCATCGCTTTACTTTCATTTGTTCCACAGCAATCAATCACAAGCCATATATCCCTGATGATGTCAACGTTAT